TCCTTGATGAATCCGGCTGCCAAAAGCTTTACGATCTCCTCGCCGGTGGTCCTGCGTTTCCCCTCGTCGAAGCGACGTAGGCGTTGTTTCACTGGTTTGGAGCCTAGGCGGATCTTCAAGGCATGCTCGGCGATTTTCCTTGGGATGCCTGGCATATCCGAGGGTTTCCACGTGAAGATGTCTCTATTGGCGCGGAGGTAGCTGACGAGCGTGCTTTCCTATTCGGAGGAAAGAGTGGTACCAATGTGCACCATTTTTCCCTTGGTGCTCCTGAGGTCTATGAGGACCTCCTTAGAACCTTCCGCTAGCTCGAAGGACCCAGTCAACCTTTTGGGGTCAGGTGCTTCTTCGGTGACCTCTTTTTCTGATGTCCGCGAGCTCTCCGGAGGCTACAATCGCTATGACGTGATCGTAGCACTCGACTTCGCACTCGTACACGCGCTGAAAGGAGGTGTCGATGGTGATGACCAGGCCTAGGCTCGACATCTTTAGATTGAGGTAGGTGTAGTTGGGGATGGCCATGAACTTCACATTGCACGGTTGTCCTAGGATGGCATGGTAAGTTCCGTGGAACCCCACCACTTTGAAAGCGAGGGTCTCCGTCCTATAGTTGGATGGACCCCTGAAGGTGATGGGCAGATCGATCTGCCCAAGCGGCATGGCTTGCTTTCTAGGCACGATGCCATGAAAGGGTGCTCCGGTTCGCCGGATGCATGCTCGGTCAACGCCCATAGCGTCGAGCGTCTCGGCGTACATGATGTTGAGGCCGCTGCATCCATCCATCAGTACTTTTGTGTGCCGCTTTGTGCCAACGATTGGGTCGACCACAAGTGGGTATCTCCCTAGCTATGGGACGCTCTCCGGGTAATCAGTCCGATCGAATGTTATAGCGGACTCCTACCACCAGAGGAAGGCAGGCGTGGTCGGTTCGGTCGCATAGACCTCGCGACGTGCGATCTTCTGGCGGCGCTTGGAGTCGTAAGCCTCGATCCTTCAAAGATCATGAGGCAGACATCCAGTGTTGGAAAGTCGTCATCCTTCCCCTTGGCGTCGTGCATGGTAGGGCGGGGTCCTTCCCATGCTCCTCTTTGTTGGAGCCTCCGGACAAGAACCGCTTCATGAGGGCGCCGTCCTTGTACAGATGCTTGATGGGGAAGGCATGGTTTGGGCATGGCCCCTCGAGTAGTTTTTTGAAGTGGTTAAGGTGCCCTTCGCGGGCTTTCGACCACCCCTGCGGTCAGCGGCGGCCACGAGAGAACCCTCATGCCGCTGCTTCTTGTTCTTCTTTTTGGCGGGATGGTTGGAGGCGCCTTCGCCAGCGTCCTTGTCCTGCCTTGCCTTGCCATTGAGGCGATCGAAGATCGCTCTGACCGCTTCTTCGCCCGAGGTGTGGCTGGTGGCGATGTCAAGGAGTTCCTTGGTGGTTCGCGGACCCTTGCGTCCTAGCTTGTGAACCAGAGACTCATAGGTGGTCCCAGATAGGAAGGCCCCTATAACGTTGGCGTCGACGACGTTAGGTAGCTCGTTGCACTACCGGGAGAAACGTCGGATGTACCCACGGAGGGTCTCACTGGCCTTCTATCGGCAGTTTTTGAGGTCCCATGGGTTCCCAGAGCGCTTGTATATGCCCTAGAAGTTCTCCACGAAGATCTCCTTCAGGTTCGCCCAACTCTAGATTCTGTTGGGCAGCTGGTTGTTCCAACCATGTCTGTGCTAAATCAGCCAAGAACAGTGGAAGGTTGCGGATAATAAAATCGTCATTATCCGCGCCACCAGCTTAGCAAGCAAGCCGATAATCCTCGAGCCATAGTCTAGGGTTCGTCTCCTCAGAGTACTTTAGGATGTTAGTTAGTGGCGGTACCTTGGTGGGAAGGCAGCGTTGAGAATGTGTCGGCCGAAGGCCTGAGGCCTCGGCAGGCCGGGGCTCGGGCTTCGGTCCTCGCCACTATCATAGCATCCGCCACAGCGAGGGTGATAGCCATGGCTAGCTCCCTCTCTGGGATCATCGTGGGTACGCCTGCGAGCATCGAGGGTGTTGCGTGCATCACGGTTGTAGCCAAGACACTGATGCACCAGGACCATGACGTGCTACCCACCGCTTTGTGGCGCCTGGTGGACTGATGCGTCCTAGCCGGGACTCTCTGAGAGCGTACGCTGGCTGGCGTCGAGCTTGCGTCGCTGAGACAATGAGGTCTTGGCCTACTGTGCCACTGCACGCTCGAGCAGTGTGCGAATCTCATGGTGAGCCTGATGATCCTCGGGAGTCACGGCCTCTAGAAGGCCATAGAGTAAGGCCACTGTGGAGGCGATGTTCTGGCTTGCCCGGGCGAAGCGAGGGAGGGCTTCATCGTCGGCGATGATCCTCCGGTTCACGTCGCGGGCCATGGCGCGGGTGCGCCCACCGTCTCCACGGTGCTCGATCTTCTAATCAAGCTCCACGCATTCCTACTCGAGCTGGAGTCGCGCTTCCTCGATCTCTCAGTGTCGGGCTTTCAGCTGCTCCATCGACATGCGTGGCGGGGCCGCTGTCTCCCTCTTGGCCTCGTCGTCGAGGTCGTTTGTTGGGATAGCCTCCCCCTCGTGGACGCTTTCAACGTGCCCCTCAGGGGTACCCGTCATGAAGCATTCACGAGAGGGGTGATGGCTTTCCCTGCTGGAGTCAGAGCCAGAGGGTGACTCTGGCTCCTCTGCCAGGAGGTCATGGAAAGATTCCGCGACGTGTTCGATCACCCCTATGAATTCGTCATTCGTGGGAGGTGGAACCATGCGTTGTGCCATAAGGTGGCTAACGGTCGTCGCGGCGTTGCGGAGACCGAACGGAAGCACTGTCGGAGCGCTCTGTATGAGGTGTTCGGGAGAGAGGGGTTCCCCTCTGGCGAGCCGTGCCATGTCATTGGCGTTAGAGAAGGTGAGGTGGCATGGGTCCTCCCTGGACGGCTGGGGTCCCAGGGAGATGTCGAGCTAGCACTCAAGCCTCCCATAGTCAAGGCCGATGGAGGGGAGAGGTTGGATGGCGGCGTGAGCCAATGCCAACTCTTCTCCCACCGTGATGATGAAGTCCAGCTCCCCGAAGCGCATGTGTGCGCCGAAACCTAGCTGATACCGTGGCTAGCCATCCGTGGCCTAATGTTAATGTTGAAACGCGCAAAAGTCCACTACTTGGCGCGCCAACTATCGGTGTTTCGAGTAAACACCAATGAGTAAATTTGTGTTATTACGCGTCTGACCCGGATGGTGTACTAAAAGACACAAGGTTTATACTAGTTCGAGCTGAATGTCCTTACATCCAGTTTATGGCTGCTGCTTGTGTTATTAGCACTGAAAAGTTTGTAGTAGGGGTTACAAACAAGCTAGAGAGGGACAGGTCCCAAGTCTCTGATCGAAAGGTCAAATGGGTGCCGAGAGGTTGGTTGCTACTCAGCTATGTGTGATGTGATACGTGATGTGTTCAATCGATCCATCTCTTTAGTGGGGTGCCCTGCCTTCTCTTTTATAGACCAATGGGAAGTAGGGATTACATATAGGAGAAAGAAAAAACCAGAGGCAAATGAGGTCCTTCAAAGATACTGGTTCTTCCTTTTTCTCTGAGCGAGCCCCCGCTGACACGGCAGACGATGCCAGGGATATCTTCATGCTGGGTGCATGTCCACTGATGATGCCATGTTCTGGCTTTGTCAACAAGTGGTCACGTCCCATCCCGCCTCGGCGGGCGGCGCGACAGACCAGGGTGCTGATTCGTGACCCTATGGGGAGCAAACGGCGCAGTGATCGCACGTCCGTACTGTAGATGATGCGAGTTTCCTCCTGGAACGTAGTGGTTGTCGGATTCACGCTCGAGGGCAAATGGCGGCGCCCACAACATTGTAAGATAAATGTCGGCGGCTACAACACTGTTTGGGCTCTGACGTGCCTGGAATGGCTTAAAGCGCCCGTCTTATCATATCCTGACGGTACTTTCCTGTAGGCATGTAGAGTATGGTCCTCGGTATTACGGTTGACTGGAGTGCCCTGCATTATCAGCGCGCGTAGTTATGAAGGAGAAAGATGTAGCCGTGGCCGGCGAAGTGAGCTAGCCCCTGGACTTAGACAGGGGCCCGACCCGAGCGTCGAGTAGGCGAGCCGCCTTGGCCGTCGGGCGAGACGGAGCCAGCCCCCAGACATTGGACGAGGCGGAGCCAACCCTCGAGGTCAGGCGAGACAGAGTCTACCCTAAGACGTCGGGCGAGGCGGAGTCAGCCCTTGGGAGTCAGCTTGAGGCGGGGCCCGTGGTCTCGGTGGACGGACGAGGAGTGACCCGGCAAGCGGTGTAGTCGTGCTCTTGATCGCGCGGATGAATCAATGTTGACGGTCATTAGCTCCTCCTCTTTGGGTATCCTAATATTGATCCGTGACACCATGGTTCAATTTTTAAATATATATAAATTAGGTGTCAATCGTAGATCCATGGTTAATATTGAAATTTTCTCAAAGAAGATAGGGTGAAAAGGTGAGGGAGATTTTTTTAGCAGTGGGAAAAGGCAAGGGAGATTTTTTTAGCGGCCGGACGGTGGTTTAGGGCTTGTTTCGAATGCAGGAATTTCATAGGAATTTTATAGGGATCAGTTTAATTTCACAGGAAAAATACAGAAATATGAAAAAAATCCCGCATTCCAAACATGCCTTTAGAGGGCTGCAGGTTAAGACAGGTCTCCAACGAATGATTCATATGAGAACCCAAAGTTAAAGTGGGTCTCAGATGTTACTATATCAGTCTCCAATAGAACATCTATATGTGAGATTTATTTTAGGTTTTAGCAGAGGTATAACTCAAATATTTATGAAGATTTATTTATAGTAACAACTCGTTGGAGATAGTCTAACGACTTGCAAGTAACGTTACCGAGAGAGTCTTGTCAGTTCCACTTCCCCCTTCTCCCTGCCGGCTACCGCACCAAAACATTGTCCTCCGCCGCTCCGTCGTACGGACGCTCGCGGCGCCGCGCGAAGGACAGCCCGCGAAGATGGCCGACTCGCCAACGGTCGATGCCGTCCTTCACAACGCGGTCATCGTCACCATGGATGGCGCGCTCCGCGTCCTCCGGGAGGGCGCTCTCGCCGTCTCCGGCGACCGCATCGCCGCTGTGGGCTCCTCCGCCGACGTCCTCGCCTCCTTCCCCTGCGCCGTGCAGACCGTCGACCTTGGTGGCCGCATCGTCCTTCCAGGTCGGTGCCTGGCTGCCTGCAGCTCCGCTTAAGTGGCCCCTTATATCCTTACCCCCCTCGAAATTTTAGTCTTTTTTTGTGTGTGGTGATTTTCGGTTTCTTGCTTGGGTTGGTTGTGGCTGTGTAGGGCTTGTAAACACGCACGTGCACACATCGCAGCAGCTGGCGCGAGGGATCGCCGACGACGTTGACCTGATGACGTGGCTGCACGGGAGGATCTGGCCCTATGAGTCACACATGACGGAGGAAGACTCCTATGCCTCCACCCTCCTCTGCGGCATTGAGCTCATCCGGTCTGGGGTGAGCAGCAGCTTCTCACTTGACCAATACGGCGTTTGATTTGCTGTGTTGTGTTGTGATGTTCCTTAATGGTGGTCGATCACTGCCCTTTCTGAATTCATGGTTCCACTGTTTGAATGCAAATGTATTGCTGATTCTAGTGCCCGAGGTTGGATAGTTGAGGAATTTATACAACATAGTTCAATTACATTGGCTGCATCTTACATGTGTGTGATGCATGTGGCTTGAATCAGTTAATAGTAAGTGCAGCATTGTCGCATGAATGCCCGTCAGAAGTTCCTTCATGATAGTTCTAGGCTCAAGTATGATGTGATTCCTTTCATGGGTGGTGGCCTTGTGAGAATTTGAAATACAGAACCATGTTCGGTGAATTTATGATGGAGAGCTGGGTTCATGGGAGTAGATATCGCAATATCGGTTATTAAACTAGACATGATAATTTGTTTAGCTTATATTGCTTTGTGGAACAAGGGGAATCCCTGAGGTACTTGGATCATCTTGAGGATTCTAAACCCGTTGAGAAGTCTTTGCATGCCGTGGGTTGATCTGAGTCATAGATCACTTATGATCATACAGATCTTAAGGCCTTCCAACATTTGCTTCGGATAGGATGCCCTGGGTGTCTCATGCATTACTTTACCGACACTCAGAGATCCTATTTGAGTTGTTTCCTGCATCATGTCACGATCAACAGGGTTGTGGGATGTCGTAACTTTGTTCCTTTAATGCACACATTATTTAAGTTTTCCCTTCATTCTGACCAGCCATTGGGGCTTTGATTGCTCTATGGAAATTCCCATACCAGATGAATTTTCTTACTTGGATCTACATCAGATGTGGAACTTTGCAGCTATTGTGTGAGGCACTGACGGATCCATCGCCTGGTGACCCCGGGTGGCTGCCCAGGCTTGCTGGCGAAGTGCAAAATAGATGTTCCTTTGTTGCAAAGGATAAACACGACATTTTTTTTTGGTAAATACATTTGGGTAATGAGGATTGTCGAGGCTTCAAAAATTTCTGGAGCTGCCACTGTGTGAGGCATGTCAATATGTCATGTATGCCATTTGCTAACTCTGATGGTGTTCGTTAGGCGAAAGATAACTTGGTGCAGTTGGCAGTTTGCAGATAAGATCAAGAATCGTTAGTTCTACAAAACAATCAAATTGAGAATGATTCATGAAAAGAATTAATTTTAAGCTTGGTTCACGTGTATGATGTTGATAACATCTAGTTCAGTAGCTCTTTGAATGTGCTAAGGTAAAAGGTTTTTTTTTCAAAAAGATCACAAAAAAGGATAAATGCTTTATGAAAAGGAGGTTCTTAGCTCCCTAGTACTGGAACTATAAAATGGCGATCCACTCATGCAATAAATGAAATGCATAGCGTGTTTTCTGCTTTTTTTTTTCTTGTTTCAGATTGCTAAAGAGATCTCTAAAAGTAAATGAAAATGTTCCATTATTTTGTGAAATACTTTAATAAAAGAACATTGAGGTATGTGCTGCTACATAAAATCCTGATGGAATTGGAGCCCTCTAGTGCCACCCAGCAGTTTCTTGGCTCTATAATTTGTAGGCTAATCTATTGATTTCTATAGGGATGCTCTTGTCAGCAACGTATTTGGCCTAGTATTGTGATTGCTTGTTAACTGGTATAATGTGCATGTACTTTTGTTATCATCAAATATAAAAAGCTTCATTTTGATTTTACTGCTCCAATCACGGGAAAAACATACTAAAAAAACTAAATTTCCTTTGTGCTAGTAATTATATTTCTTATGGTGTAAGGTTTCATGTTCTTTTTTTTATCTGGTAGTATTTTTTGTTGTGCAAGCGGTAGAGTCTTACCGCCTGTGGCCGGAAGGTCCCGGGTTCGAGTCGCGGTCTCCTCGCATTGCACAGGCGAGGGTAAGGCTTGCCACTGACACCCTTCCCCAGACCCCGCACAGAGCGGGAGCTCTCTGCACTGGGTACGTCCCTTTTTTATTTTCTGTTGTGATCTTCATAGTGGTTTTCATCTGATGTCGAGCTTGGTAGTGGTTCTGTGTGCTGCAAAGGTTCCTTTTTGTCCGTCTTTTGGAGAACTATCAACTATTCTGCACTTGTAAGTTTCATATATTAGAAATCCTGGGGAGTGCAGACTTGAGGATATTCTAAAAAGGGGTATGGATGAATACAATGCTAAGCTAACAATCATGAATTTTACTTATCGAGCAAGCAATTGTTCATTTTGCATTTTGTTTAATCTGTCTTGTTTATCCTGTTTTTGTTTATCTCTGCTTATCTATACACGCAACTACAACATTGTGTCATTGACTCATTATAGGTTCATGAATGATTGGTATGCTCAAACTATCAATAACCATAAGATTTTTCACTGTGCATGACCTTTCCCTCTTTGGTCATTGAATGACAGGTGACATGCTTTGCAGAAGCAGGTGGGCAGTTTGTTTCAGAAATGGCACGTGCTGTGGAGTTGTTAGGCTTGAGAGCGTGTTTGACAAAGTCAACAATGGATTGTGGTGATGGTTTGCCTCCAAATTGGAGTTGTTGCTCCACTGATGATTGCATTCAGGTGTTTTGTCTGCTATAGAGTTCACCATTCTTTCTGTCACAGCATCTTCTTATATCTCATGACTATTTATATTTTTCAGTATAATCACTTTCCTGAACACAGTCACCTGCTGTTTGCTCCTATCTTTTCCTTCACTCTAATTCATAGCCTTAACTTGTGCGTCCACTGATCATGAGCTTCTTAGGTTGTATTTCCCATAATTTGAATGCCTAACAAAAGTGACTTTCAAGATAGAAATACCTTTTGAAACAGTATTTACCTGAGGGCTCAGGATACTGGAACCGTGTTCTGGGCTGCTTTTCTTTATATATTTAAGTTTGCATGTACTGCAATTATATGCTTTTGGGTCGGTAATTTAGATTTAGGAGAGGAGCCCAAGGTTGTGAACTTGCTGCACTTAAACCAGGAGAATGAAATTAGGCACAGATATTTGACTTCTGTTTTGGTGGCGAAACAGGCAGTTTTACCTCTGGAACCCTGGATTGATCCATTGAAGATGATATGCAAAATTCTGAATAGCATAGGCATATGGAGCAGATCCAAATGTAGCGTTGTCTATTTACTGTGGTGCCATGTTCTTGATTTATTATCCAGTGAAAAATTCGAACTAGCTTAATGTTAAAATTAGGAAAGGGCTGATATTTGGTGGAAACATCTATTTGTCTTTATAATCTTTATTCCAGAGCAAGTTTGGGTGGCTAGAGATGAAACACAATAGGGTAAAAAAAAATACAAAGAGGTATTACTAATAGTTGTTGAAGTGTGTATAAGTGCATTGCCCACCTCTTCCTGATAGCTTAAGCTTTTCGGTTGAACTGGTCAATGCGTGCACCTTAACATGGTATCAGAGCCAGAGGTCTCGAGTTCGAATCCTAGTCGAGGCAACTTAAGTCCTCCGCCCCTTTATTTCCACGTTTGCGCATCTCAAGCTGCTGTGCCTCTCTCTGGCTACACGCCTCTCTCTGGCTGCACGTGAGTGGGGGTGTTGAAGTGTGTATAACTGCATTGCCCGCCTCTTCCTGATAGCTTAAGCTTTTGGGTTAAATTGGTTGGTGTGTGCAGCTTAACAATAGTAACAGTAGTAGTAATAGGAAAAGGGGAATGATAGCCTAATGTTAGTGAACGTTGGTTGCTGATCTTCACACACTCTTGCCCAGAGCTAGTTCTTTCTCTGTTTATATCAAATTTCAAATAAAAAAGACAACCTGTGAAGTGCAGGCTACATCTTTTGGTGAAAGATGAAGTTATGTAATGCGAAAAGTAAGAGAGTGCAATCAGAAAGATTTACCTTTTTTACTGTTCCTTTGGCCAAGTTTGTCTTATATCAAATTGTATTCTGTATTCATTGGGAATTTTCTAGCATTGTCTGTTTGCTCAGGTTAAAGTCCATCTTGAAGAGATATAGTACCTGTGTTTGCTCTTTCCATTTTTGTCTGTTATGTGATGTGGGGAACTATATCATATGGTACATTTCTTTCCTACAGTCACAGAAGGAACTATATGAAAAGCATCATAATACAGCTGATGGGCGTATCAGGATATGGTTTGGGTTGAGACAGATAATGAACGCAACAGATCATTTACTGCTTGAAACAAGAGATGTTGCCCAGAAGCTAAATACTGGAATCCATATGGTACTTACACAAAGTTTATTGGTGTATTCAAGTTTATATAATTTAATATAATGTGCTACTTCATTGGTTCATGCTTACATGATAATCTGTTTCACACATTCATGCAAAATCATAGTAATGGCTTGCACTGTTTTCTAATAGGGAATGTTGATGATTTACTTTTGAACTTCCTGAAGTGCTTGTGCTAGATGCCTATATTTGGTCAAGGGAAACACCAGCCAGGGTTCAAATCCTGGTGGCAACAAAAAAAATCCCCTCGCTGGCAACCCTAAAAATAGTGCCACGGTGCTGACCTGTGGCGCTTGTGGTTGGTTTGGGCCCTGCTACCATGGGATAGATGCAGTGGTTGCCAACCCAGAAGATTGTGGTCACCCCCTATTTTTTGGGTTCACCCAGGAAGGTCATGGTTGGCTTCCCCTTGTTAAGGGTATCAGTGTAATCTCCCTAGTCTAGGGTTTCTCTCCTGTGTCCCCATGTATTGTATGTATAGTCCCCCTATTAGGCGTCAATATGACAATACATTCAGTCTCCCTTTATTCGTAACATATGACAATCCATTCAGTCTCCATTTATTCATAACACCCCCTACCGGCTTATGTTCCAAAATATAGACTGGAGAGCCTAATTGACTTACACTGTTTAACCAAATAATTATCTCATGTCCACCTACCTTCCGGCTTGAACTGTTTTTTTTTTTTTTTTGGGTTTGGGCCCTCCTACCATGGGGTAGCTGCAGTGGTCGCCAACCCAGAAGATCGTGCTCGGCCCAGGTTATGGTGTGGCCCTGTAGGGTGAAGCCAGGGTTGGTCTGCATTGTTGAGGCTTCTTAATCATAATAGTGCCTTGGGGAGGCTATTCCCGAGGGTCAAGTTTTTTTTTTCTCCAAATAGAATTGCTGAACCCAGCCTACCTTAACATACTTACTTGGGACTTAAAGGCTTTGTTGTTGATTAAATTGCTAAGCCTGGTAACCTGCTGATTTTCTTACAACATTGTCTTGCACTTCATTCAGCATATTGCAGAAATACCATATGAAAATCAACTTATAGTTCGGACCAAAGGAATTGATCATGGCACAGTGACATATTTAGAGAAAATTGATTTCCTGAGGAGTAATTTACTGGCTGCCCATTCTGTTTGGTTGAATGAACCTGAGGTGAGTAAACTTTTTCACAATCAATTGTTGCCTTATACATTGTCTACTCTGTTTGTATTCTGAGAACATATAGTAGTTATCAAATATACAAAATAGGCTAGAAAATGTTCTGGTTGTAAGAATGTCATGGTTTTAGTTTTTATGTGTTCCGTGATTCCGTCCCAAAATGTAGGTGGGGTGTGTGTGTGTTGGGGGGGAGGTGTTAGGTTCTATGGATTGTTTACTGGAGGACGAGCACAATGGCATCCTGTTGGTGCCATGATTGCAGGAGAAAGATAGTGGGCTGGGTGGATTTCGGCAGGAGATAGAAGAAGCGAGGGTCTTGCCAGCCTTGGTAGAGAGGAACAAAAATGGTACATGCAAGAAATATATACATAGATTATGTCCTTGTTCCTGAAAACAGAGCTCCTTATAAAGGTACTCTGGGTTAGTAGTACATGGGCCGAATCTCCTAGTCTGTGCATGTTACAAATTAAATACTTATTCATGCATTACTTTCAAACTCTGGGTTACTAGTACATGGGCCGAATCTCATAGTCTGTGCATGTTACAAATTAAATACTTGTTCATGCATTACTTTCAAGGACTAGTAGTACATGGGCCCAATCTCTTAGGTAGTGTTTGGTTTCAAGGGGACGGGACATGGGCCCAATCTCATAGTGTTTGGTTCCAAGGAGACGGGAGGGGCGAAGTCATCCCACTATGGAATATTCCCCATATATGCGGGGCAACCCCATCACTGGAAACAAGGCGGGCGAGCTTGTCCTCACTCATCCGATGGCTCGGCGGGGTCGGGTGGGCGGCGTGGCCGAGCAGGGGCTCGACGAGGCACGGTTGGCTGGCGCCGTGACCAAACAGGGGCTGGACAGGGTGCTGACAGCCATGACGTGGATGGGTGAGAGCCGGCACCGAGGACCCTGACAAGGTGTTGGCGGCCATGGTGCGGACAGCGCGGGAGCCGGATTTGGACGATCGAGGCTTGGGTTTGCGAGGGATGGCTTGGACGCGTGGCCGCAATGCACCGGCTGAGCAGCGTGCCCTGGCCGAAGTGACGACAAGGGCAGAGGCGAGGGAGCTGGGTGGCCACGCCCGAGTTCTACTCGTGGGAAAACAATAATAAGGTAGAAGGTGGAAAAGAAAATGACATGTGCCCGCTCCCCCACCCCCCACACACAATATGTGCCCCGGCCGGTGAGCAGCCACCACTGCACGGCCCCACTCCGCGATCGTAGGCCGGGCTGGAAGCCGCTGCCGTGCCTTGCCCTAGCTGGCAAGCAGCCACTGACTCTGCTCACAGGCTGGTCGGGCAGCCGCCGCCACGCCGCGCCCAACCAGCGAGCAGCCACTGCGCTTCGTGCCATGCACCACGCACTTGAGGCCAGGCTGTGCTCGCAGGCCGGTCGGGCAGCTGCCACCGCGCCGCGCCCGACCAGCGAGCAGCCACTGTGCCTCGCGCCATGCACCACGCACTGGAGGCCAGGTGAGCAGCCACCACCAAGGCCCTTTTTTTTCTTTTTTTTTCTCGTACACGCTGGAGAGATGCGGATCATTATATTAAGAAGAGAACAAAACCCGGGGAAAGGTCCCTTACAAAAGAACCACACAAACCCACACCAAAACCTAGATATCAAAAACAACAAATGCGTCCTTTACAACAATAGACTGACCACGACCACAAAATATACACAGGCCAGTCAACCTTCCTCCGCCATAAAGGCCGAGAGAAAGTTAACACATCATGCTCCGGCCAAACCTCAAAGATGTAAATCCTCCATAGCAAGCAACACAGCCCAGGCCACACTAGGGGAAACCCCATAAAAAACACACCTACTGTGATGCTTCCAGAGATTTGAAGCACCTAGCATAACATGGAAATTAAGGCCCTTTTGAATAAGATCAACTGCCCCATTGGAAATTTTATCCCACCTGTCATCAAAACAAACATCTTCAATTTGCCACCAAGGCCCTTTCCGTTGGCATCAGAGAGGAGACAGGAGGGACTGAGGGAGAGAAGACTGGAGGAGAACGAGAGATTTTTTTCACTGACGGTCACCGGCCTAAATATGGGCCGTCGAGTTGGGCCGAAGGGGCCCCAGGCCGGCCGCGCCCTGGTCATCTGCGCCGCCAGGGGGGCGCGTGACCAGGGTGGGGTGGCTCCCTGCCGCGTCTCTGACCCCCACCCCCCAGGGAAGCCTGAAATAGGAGACCAGGAGGAGATTTGATAAAATTAGGAAAAAAAGGTAGGGAAAATAGAAATAGAATTTGTTTAGGGAATAAGAGGATTTGTTTAGGAAATAAGATAAGATTAAAAAGGAGAGTCCAAATCTGTAAGAACTCCCCCTCTAGTTTGCTCAGGGGCCAAGTCCGCTAGGGACTATAAATCTAGGGGCAATGTAACCGTTTCAATCTAAGCAGAGTGTCAGCTCTTCCCCTCCCCTCTGTGCACCTGCCTCTCCCTCTCTTGCCGCTGCTGCCCTAGCACGCCGTAGGTCCCACATATAAAGGGGATGTGGCTTTCTTAATCTGCTGGAGCAGCTATCTCCTATTATTCTCTACAATCCAGTTTTCTCAGTCCCTTATACTAGATTTTAAGGGAAAGGGGAAAGAGGATCTAACGGAGATGCTCTAAGTCCTAACAAAACCAAACTGCTCAGTTCAGCAAAACAAAAACTAACTTGAATGCTGCTGCACTCACAAACTGATGTGGGTTTCTTCATGTGGAAGGTTATCTCCATGTACATCCATTGATCTACATCATGCTGAAGTCCTCATGACAGTGCTAAAACATCTATATTAGAAGTTTTTTTTTTGCCACATTTGGATATGTATCTCTAAAATTCTAAATGTCTTTTGTTATATGATATTTTTTTCAATAATAGATAGCAAAATACAGAAATTTCTCCAAGTACAGCTTATAGGTATGCCCTTCCATGAAGATTTCACTATGTGGTTCTCAAACTGCAGATAGGCCATTTTTCAAAGGCTGGTGTTAAGGTTTCTCACTGTCCTGCATCTGCCATGCGGATGTTGGGATTTGCTCCTATTAGAGAAATGCTGGATTCTGGTGTTTGTGTCTCCCTTGGTACAGATGGAGCACCAAGCAATAATAGAATGAGCATTGGTATGCTTCAGAACCCTCACAAACATTTTTACGAGCATGTCTGAGTTTGGATCATAAAGGTTTCACTATGGAGCCTAATTGACTATTCTTACTCTGTTTTGACCAAATAATTATCTCATGTCCACTTTATAGAATGATTATATTCTTGTGAAGATATTCAATATTTTTTATTAAAATGTCATCGCTAGAATTTTCACAACCACATTTAACTGTTTTTTTTAAGAAAATGGATTATCAGGTTGTTATCGTGTTATGTAGTTCAGCTGTGCTGTTATGTAAAGAAACACTGAACCAAACGAAAAAATTAAGAAGTGGGAAAAGCATATTTTACTGATTAACCACCAAAATCAATAAAAATATACTGTTTTGGGCATCCATTTGATTAGGTGTGCTTTTTTAACCAAATAAACCAATTCTTCTCCTTTTATTTTAAAGAAGGTGTCAAACAGTTACTGTTGGATCACGCAATTTACATATGCAATTGTACTTTGTACTTCATCCTAGGCAATACCCACCTTATATCTTTGAAATTTTGATATCCTGTGGTTAATTTTACATTGACTACCTTGGTCTGTACAGTGGATGAGATGTACTTAGCATCCCTAATTAACAAAGGTCGTGAGGCATACATCAGTGGAACAACAAACCCAACTGCTCTTCCTGCTGAGACTGTGCTGAAGATGGCTACTATTAATGGTGCAAAAGCAGTTCTGTGGGACAATGAAATAGGTTCGCTAGAGGTTGGGAAAAAGGTGATGCTCCCAATTGCTATTTTGTTCATGTATGGCTCTAAATAACTTTGGTCCATATATTTCAGAGGTTGATAAATCTTATTTTCTTCATCCTAAAGCCATGTGGTTCTTGTTGTACATTTTTTTTTTTGAAGCCAATAGTGGGCTGATTAGCTTACTTTTCCTAGCAAGCTCAGATTCATTTTGACTCCTAAATTATCTGGTTTAGTTGGCCCATGCAAGTATCTTGTTTGTGTAGGCAGACTTGGTTGTGGTGAATCCATTTACGTGGTCCATGGTCCCCTTACATGACAGGTGTGCACTACTATGTTTTATTTATTTCTTAAATGTTTGAATAACTACTATTTTTATGATTGGTTTAGCGTTGGGTCTCATGTGTCAATGTTTTCACTCTGGTACTGTAGAGGTATATCTATAAAGATCTTTGTTTCTGTCTCTACTCCATTTCACAATATTTCTGTACAGTAGCCTGTTATGACCATAATTAGCAAATCTTCTTGTTACCTGATATATGTATAGTTAGGTATCTAGCCATGCTGCTGGCCTTTTGTATCATTGGTTGTTTGGCATAACACTTACCTCTCCGGCTCTGCCTAATGCACAGCATTGCCAACATTGTCTATTGCATGCGGACAGAGAATATTGAGTCTGTTATGTGCAATGGTCGGTGGATCATGAAGGACCATAAAATCATGAATCTTAATGAGGTAATTCACTGCTTCTTTAAGTGTACTTCAATATTGAAATGAACTAAAATGTACACAGAATACTATTTTCCTATTGTCACTCTAAAAATGATGGACACCATAAACTGTTTCATTTCTGTTCCTACTAGTTTTCAACTTCTGACGATAGCTGAAAAGTCAAATGAATACTTGGGCACTAAGCACCAAGTATACTGGTTTGCATGGGGTGTAGCACTGCACAAAGTTCCTTGGCCCTATTTGGTTGGAACCAGCGGCGGAGGCAGGAATATTTTCTAGGTGTGGCGGGTTTATAAAGGTCAAACATGTATAATGTAACTATCAACTATATAAGGACGCACTAAAATATTATTTAAATATGTATATTACTTTGTGATCAACAAATATAACAGAAATCCAAAAGTATTGGCTCTTCTTTGGTTGTGCCATTTTTGATGTCGTATACTCGTATCATACGCCCGGGACCGGCTACCGTGCCGGCGCCGACTACCGAGTCGCCGCCTCCTGCCTCTGCACTTGACACAACACCGTTTCTAAGCCTGGCTAGTGCACCGGCATCCGCCTCGCTGATCGCCGCCTGCCTGCCTCTGCACTTGACACACCCCCGTTTCTGATTTGCGATAGGTGTCTTTAGGAAATACGTACCGTCGGGCGATTGAAACCTGGAGCTAGCATCCGATCCATCAACCAGGAAGACCAACGAGACTTCTAGCTTCCTTCCGTGGACCGTGGGCTCTTGAGATTGGCCCATGAGATACCAGGCCAGCCGCAAAATACATCTGTACATCAGCCATGTATACTATTTCACGTATATACACATGATATACTAGTATTTTGTATAAACTTTAGGTATGGTGGCCGCCAAACCTTGCCATACAGCTGCCTCCGCCCATGGTTGGAACCCTGCTAAGCATCTCCTAGGCTCCCGGCCCAGGCAACAATCTTAGGACCTGTTTGGTTCCCACCCTAGGAAACGTGCCTCAGCCAGGCATCAACACCAGGCGAACGCCTGGGGTCAGATGCAGGCATGCAGCTGCCTGGCGTCCCTCGCCAGGTGAGGGTGGCAACCAAACAGCCCCTGACTTCCAGCCCAAGTAATGCTGGATAAGTTCCTAAGATCTCTGAAGATCAAAAACTTCAAATCTCAGCCATTTTTGTTGACTAAAAATTTATGTATTGTTTTTCATGACCGCAGACTATGCCTGTACCTTTTTTTTTTTTTCTTTTTCCTTTTTTTGAGACACCCGTAGACGCCCCTGTAGATATACCACTGATGCTATCACACGTCTGTTTCTTTGTGGTCCAGGAGGAGGCAATTTCTTCAGCTGTGAAAAGAGCGAACGACCTCCTTGCGCGAGCTGGCATCAATCTCCCCAGACGGATGAACTACGTATAGTTATTCTCTTGCCATTTCGTCATGTATGGCCAGTTGCCACCATGCCGCTAATTGTAGTACCTTGCATGCTGGCCCGGACGCTGGGCCGGCAGGATTGGTACTTTGTACTACGACTAGTCTTCCACTTCTTTGGAGTAGCTTGCAGGATCGTAGCCATGACTTCATTTTCTACGAGTGTTGAATCGAAAATAATGTGCATTTGTACGTGTGGCTTCTGTAATAAAAGCATCATGGAAGTCTCGAACTGTATCAACAGTAAAAAATAGAATTATAGTGGAGCATGTTTTTCAATGTGATGCTGAAAGTTTACCATTTGGTGCCTCTGCCTCCTTAACATGTCTATGCTGTGTCTATGAATACAGAAAATGTTCATGCTCACAGTTTCTTCTTTTTTCGTTATATCACTAGCAAACATATTTGTGCGTAAATGGGACATACAGCTTATTGTAAGATCATTTTGACAACCCGTGGCTTGGAGATTTAATTAACAATCGTGTCTTGAAATCAAACTCCCAATTTGTTATGGAATGGGCGATGGATCATGGAAACGCTTCATATTTCAATTCGGTCCTGTTTGGTTGGGCGTTCGTGGTGCGTTTGAGCCAGGAAAGCGAGAAAAGCGGGAAATCATATCCCGAAGGCAACTTCGGGGGAAGTTGGTTTCTTCACCGTAGGATTGATTTGTTGAGATTCGTGCTATGCCTCAACCACGCCTGAGGGATGCCCAGCCTAAATCTTTTGGGGTTTTGCCTCACGTTCAGCCAATCTATCGGCTCCATCTCTTCTCTTCCCGTTTGCCGACACCTGACCATCTCCTGGCTTATCTTCTTAGGTTATTTGAATAAGTACCATTACAATTCTGAAAGTTTTAACATATACCATTATAATTCATCTATTTTGAGTCTTACTATTACAATTCTTCGTTTCATCCACGGTGTACGCTTGGGAATGACTTAGGCCCACCTGTAGCCGTATATGGCCACCAAGTGTTTGTCTATGGTCTATTTTGCCCTCATCTTCACGGCCATGGTCTTCTTCTTCCTGGCCGGCGACACACCGCCCTCCTCCATGGCCGTCGCCCTTTGCGCGCTCCCCCACCTCGGGCACCCTCCATGGCTGCCGCATCGGGCCAGTCAAGCTGCCGACGGGCTTGCACATGCGCACTGCTGGGCTGCCACCAGACGACCAGGCGGCCGCGCCATGGCCAACGAGTGCCCGAGCTACCACCGGGCAAGCGCACGAGCGGGTCGCCGCGCCGCTGCCGGGCAAGCGCGCGAGCAGGACGCCGCGCTGTCGTCGGGCAAGCGAGCGAGCGGGCCGCCGCGCTACAGCGTCGGGCCACCTTGCGCTCTTGGTCTCCCGCCGCCGCCTTGAAGATGTTCGGCGTCGGCGCGATGCCGAACTCCATGAGCGGCTGCGCCTGGGTTAGCCAGTGCCTGGAGGGTGTGGAGCGGAGCACGCCGCCGAAGGGCTCGTCGGTGGTGAGCAGCGTCAGGAACGAGTTCCTGCCCACCTTCCACAACTCGAACTTTGGCGACGCGCCGTGGGATTCCGAGGATCTCCCAGACTCACTGCGGCGGCGGAGGAGGAAGCGTCCCCATGACGCCATCGATTGACAGTGGCTTGTGCTTGCTTTGGCCGCGTCTTGGATCTGGGCAGCGACAGTGGAGGCAATGCGAGATGGATTCAGGAGGAGAGGAAGCTAGGAAGGAGGGAGGAAGGAGATGACTGATGGGGTCCACACGTCAATGACATAGAGAAAGGTGGAATTGCAGTTTTGTCCATACAAAAATAAGATGACACCGTGTACGTCTGCAGGTGGGACTATGTTATTTCCATGCGTACGCGTATTTAAAAAACGTCCAAGAATTATAAAAGGTAAAATTCAAAACAGGTGAATTGTAACGGTATTTATCGAAACTTTCAGGATTGTAACCAATCCAAATAACCCCTTCATCTTCCCCATCGAGGTTTTCTCCGATTCTCTCTCGTTGTCCCCAACAGCAACTATGGATTCCCACCTGCTAGGTCCGGATCTGGCCAAATCAGCCCTGGTGCTAGCAGATCCGGTGGTCATCTTCGCGGCGCGGCGGTCACGCGTCTCCCCTGCCGGTGCCGCCGCCGCTTGCGTCCGGCAGGTTGCGCGCCGCCTTCTGCCCGAGAGATGGCTCAACGAGGAAGGCACGAAGCTTCGGTACGAGCCGTCCTAGATCATCTCCTTCAACGCCGGGCCGCGAGCATGCCTCGGCGAGGAGATGGCGCTCGTGCAGATGAATACCACGGCGGCGGCCGTGCTGTGGAATTTCACCGTGAGGTGGTGCCGGACCATGTCGTGGATCCGAAACTGTCCTATCACACTTCACATGAAAAATGGGCTTGCCGTCAAGGTTATGAGAAGGGACGGACGGCGCCGTCGTGCGTTTGCTGCTGCTGACTGAACACGTAGGTGCCTGCAGATGCCTAGATTGTGTTCTTTAGAATCTTTTTCTTATTTTACTAGGCCACTAACTTGTGGTTTTATCTAGTAACTGATATTCTATTGGCTGCGAACGATGGATTCTGATCGAATTGTTTGCTACGATTTTATAGCTTGCTTGTGCTGATAGATGCAGTCTTGTGCACTGTGCCGCGTGACTGAAAAAAATAACTGACGCCCTTACGATTTTATAGCCTTGTGAGCTAACTAGCTGAGAGGGGACTTATTGGGCTAAATGTACTTTAGAGTTACCATTTACAAAGAGGCAGGGCACGAACCAGTGATGTCAACTTGTCTGTCAAAGTGTCAAGTGCCTTGTCAAGAGTTTTCTTGCTTGTAAGAAGAAAGATGTTTTGTTTCTTATGTCCAGCTCCATTCAAACATTTTCTTGAGATGGTCACCAATATGAAAATTTCTTGCGCTGATTTGGTTCCAAAGTGTGATTCATTGGTACGAAGTGGAATGTGTTTTTTCTTTTAGTTGTGTGTAAAGCATGAAAAAACTATTGATATGCAAAAATAACTACACATAATGGATTTCCAATCTTGAAATGTGAGTTAGAGCATCTCCAAGACTTCTTTAAATCCCTCCTAATCCTTAGTTTTTAGAAAGATGAGAAAAAAACGCTCTCCAACAACTCCTAATTCTTCCTCCTAAAATATACGCACTTGATAAATCCCACCCCGTTGCGCGTAACTCTGCGCGGCTCCTCCATCGCGCATATCCAGTTCTCCCACGCGGTGTCCATCTTCGTGGGCCTTCTTTTGTCGGGACCAGTTCATGGGAACGCCGTTCTCGATCGAGCCAGATAGCCGCGCCTAATCGCCTCTCGAGTGAATTATTCAGACTCCGATCACGATGACCGGCAACGCCATGGCCACGGCTGCGATGGCGCCGGCGAGTGCGCCCCCGGTGGTGCCTGCTGGCGTGGCGGCGCCGGTCGGGGCCTGCGGGCTAGGAGGCGCCGGCGGGGGCGTGCCCGGGCCGACGATCTGGACGACCATCCTCTGGCCACGCTCGCAGTGGCCGGACTCGCCGCTGATGAAGTAGATGGGGCCCGGGTGGTCCAGGGCCACCTCTGTGTCGCTGTTGTTGGAGAAGAAGATGGGGTGCGACGCGGCATTGTCAGAGAAAGTACCGTCGAGTCGGCCTCTGTCACCACCATCACCGAGTCCTCCTTGTACTTGAAGTCTGCACGCGGCATGGACCATGCATGAGTTGGCGGCGATCGAGATTGATTAATGGTGTTTGCCAGATTGATCCAAGAGAACCAACGAACGAATGGGAATGGACCTGTCTCTTACGGACGAGGTCGCCGACTGGTTGTACCTGCCGCTGTAACACCCCAGGTGTTTGGCTTCCACATTTGCACTGCATTTCATGAACATGAGCATCATGCATCCCTTTGTGAACTTATAGCACATGAAACATAAATTCAAACATTGCAACGTGTTGTAGATTTCATGTGTGTTGTTCTTTATGAAATGTAAAGTGTGCAACGCTTAATGCAACATGTGCCACTCACTTAGTAAAACAAGGTTAGTTAGTGCTATGCAACACAATCATGAAATATGTGAAACATGACTATGAAACATTTGCAACATTTCTTGTGTTTTTCATCGCTTCAAAGTATACCTTGATTGATTCTTGTGTGACCAATGCATGGTGTGGCTAGGAATGCGTGTAAGTAACTTAGTTATACTTAGAATGTCATTAGGAACAATGTTCATGTTGATCATTTTGCCTAATTAGGTTTCCAAGTCATGGTTGACCAATTTGGACCCCTAAAGCTCCCGTGTTTGACTGTTTAAAAAGTGTGGCTTAGGATGTTTGCATATGTCTGAGCAACCTAAAGCAAAGATGTAGGGAATTATATAAGGAACAAACTTTGTTTAGAAGCCATCTCATGAAAATGTGCACAACATGTTCAAAAAGGACCCACAAGTCAGTTTTGAGATCTATGTTGAAACTCGGAAAATTTTCTAAGTCCGAAACCGGTTTTCGCTTTCTTGTGTCGATGTTTGGAGCATTGTATCTCACAAACCAAGCCGAACCAGCTCGTGCTCCAATTGTGAAAATTGTAGCCCGCATGTAGATCTCCATCTTTGTTAACTACGACATGAGCTCGATCAAGACGGTTTAGGAGTTTGAGCACGCCGAAAACTCGTCGTCGGCCGGTTGATTGCGAGCCCGATGGCCGTCTCCGTCAAAGCCGAGTGGCCGACCGCCTCAGCCGTCATTGCCGCGTGTACACGCTGCGTGGAGGCCGTGACGTCGGCGTTGGCCCCACCGGTCGGTCATCGCGGACACCTCAACGCCACGCGCCCATCACTCGTCTATTTGCTTCGCCGCTGTGGCGTCCGCTTCGCTCCCCACGCCAACCCAGCAGCAACCGCCCGCCATTGCCGCTCCTCGCTTCATGTCGCCGAAGCTCGCGAACCACCGCAAAAGCGCGATCGCCATCTCGCCAGCCGACTCCACCGTAGCTCGCTCTACCTTCTCCACCTCCTAGCTGCGCCTGTCGTGTTTGGGTAAGGTCGCATGACCATTTCGCGCCATCGCCATGGGCGTGACCTCGCCGAGCTAGCGCTGTCGTGGGCCGGCCGCCTCCGCGCCTTTACGCCTCTTCTAGTGCGCGCATGGGGAACCGTAGGAGCCGAGTGTCTACCTCAAAGGCATAGTCTTCGGATTCGCCGCCGTTGAGCCGAACACACCGCCGCACGCCAGGCGCCATGGCCGAGCCGCCGAGCCCGTGGGTCGGGTACTTAGGGGTCGGTAAAGTTGGTGGTTAGGTGTCAATCGACGCGTAAGATTGAGGCGGTCACGAGGTGCCGCCATCGTCGCCGGAGAAGCCGCCGTCGGCGAGCTCCACCGGATTCCCGTCGCATGCGAGCCGCCTTCGCTTTGTTGTGACCATGGGGTCGGTGACGACACCGGTCCCACACGTCGCTGGTCGTTGTTCTTAAAGATAGTTTCGGGCTTTACAGATTTGAATGCAATGTTGTAAAATCCATATCTTGAGTTTAGTAGATCCAAATTGAGTACTTCCAATTTTGTTAGACTCACTGTTAGGTCTAGTATTTAAGAAAAATATATCTTGAGCATTTTATGTAGAAATTTTGGGTGAATTAAATAGGAACTTGAAAAGTGTTTTTGAATGCATGCAAACTTGTTTAAATCATATCTTGAGTTTCTGTGATCCAAAAATTATGAAATTTTGTGGGTGAGCTAGTCTTGTATAGTAGAAGCTCTGGTTAAAATTTGAGAGTCATTGCATGTGTAGTTTTTGAGTTATAGATTTTCCTTTTATCATCAGGTAATTCTTGTGTAAATTTTAGTAATTTATTTATGAATCCAATGGCCATGAAAATTGGTAGGTAGTATCCTAGTACCCTAAGGATGCTAGGAAAAATATGAAATCTGTTGCTTGACACTTTTCATTAGGGTTTCCTAATTATGCCATTTTAAGCCATTATGCCTTGTCATTTTTGTGTAGGCTTTTCTACTTGCTCAAATGGTGTGAAATTTTTATGGTAGTCTACTTAGAGCATGTAGTGTCTACTGTAATTTTTGTAGAATTAATGGGGCAGTTTTCATATAGGTTTACTATTTCCCCTAATTAATTAAATAAATTAAGAAAGGTATTAAAAGAAATGTTTTGGTAATGGACATCCTACTTTCTGGTGTTCTTAGGATATGTGTGATAAGATAGTAAAGTTGGTTTTGTCTAATTATATGTTTACATCATAAGTTGCTAATTATTTGTTGGCATTATGTTCCTCTGGACAGATCTGGGGACTTTGGAAAGTTCCCCATGATAATGTGGTTTTCTGTGCTTGTGTTGAATACAAAAGTTGTAGGTAACTTATGTATCTAGCTCCTGTCAAAATTTGAGGGCATTTGGCCCAGTAGTTTAGAAACTACAGCTGTTTAAAGTTAGGTTGCAGTTTTTGCTGATTCTCTGCCTTGTGTGGATAGACTTCTGTTGATTGATGAATTCGACCTGGTAAAGGTTTGAATCATGCTTTGAGGTCTAAAAATGAATTGTAGACAATTTCATAAGCATTCCAGATTGTCTTGTTTCATGTCATTTGGAATTATACATCTCCAGTTATGGCTAGTTTAATGTACCGATATATATAGTCTTCAATTGCTGAAATATACATGCTTGATTGAATGTGTTGCAACGTAATCGTTAATTGTTTGGAGGTTAGCCTAACTTGAGAATATGCTTAGGTGCAGGTGCTAGGTCATTAACTGAAGATGAGCAATTATACATTAGGTTGTATAAACTTGGTAAGTAAAGTGATTTGAATAGGGCTTAAGTTGAAATATGCAAACTACAATGAACATGTGCATTCCCGAGCATCCCCGACATTCGTACATGTGCATCCATGATATTTATCTTATGCATTCATGCAATAGGTGTGCCGGAGGGAGTGACGTTGTTGGAGTTCGAGGGAGCCAACCAGGAGGAGGAGCCCGAGGTGCAGGAAGTCGAAGAAGCGTACCGTCGCCGAGGAGTTGCCCGAGTGCCCCGATCACCTGACCTTCCTCTTTCCCGAAAGGCAAGCCCGGAGCATTATAAGTCTCCCATGTCTTTACAAATATATTGAGTATCTTTATTGTTGATGATGCATTAAGTATAGGAATTGGTTGGAACCAATTGCTGCATTATATATCCCTCCTTGTCCAGATATCGTGACCGAATCCTATTTAAGTTCGTGAACGGGTTAAATGCTTAGCCATGCTTAGTGCGGTAGAAGTCGGGTGATTTGCCACCGCGAGATTTAGGATGAGGTGGATCACGGTTGGCTATATTTGCTATCGTGGAAAAGAACCATGGGAATAATGAATTAAGACCCAAGGAGTCTTGTGTAGGTTTGAACATAGTGACTCCGTCTCGTGTCGCTTAAGGACCCATATCAGACGTCCTCATGTCATGTTGAACGCACCTAACACTTAGTCGGGCGGATAAGTCGTTCCGACCGCCGGGGCCGAGTAGCTCAACTCAGGCCGGGAACCGTGGGGGTTGGATGCATTTCGGAGGTAGTAAGGATGTGCGGAGAGCTATTGGCATAAGTCCAAGGGGAGTCGGATTTGAGATCCTGCATTTCCGGCAGCAGAGTGGTTCTCTCGAGAATGCAGGCAGCCGGACCCGCGTCTTTTCTGTTACTTTTCTCCCGAGTTGTACCAAAGGTGACTTGTTTACGACTCTCGACGGGGAAGCAGTGGTTTGTGTTAGGAATACCCTCCATTTGGATAGGAATCGATTGAATCGCCGCCTCTCCGGATAGTGAGAACTTGACTTGAGCAATGGCAACGTAGATTCAATTAATTTAACGATATGGTTAAATGGATAATGATGATGATGACGATAATGTTGCCGAGAATTATACCTGCTATGGTTATTAATGTTTGCATATTAATCAAGTGGTTGATTAGTACAGGTGCTAATATAGATGACAAAAGTTAATGGCTTAAAGTCACCGCTAGTTCAGATAAAAGTTAATCATTATTATATATGCTTTTATGCAAATGGAAGTGTCACCAGATCCACTAAATAAAGCTATGCATGATCCTTGGTGTCCTTTATTTTGGTTTCCGTCGGGTAAGTCTAGTGAGTACATTCCCTGCACTCGTGGTTTATTCCTCTTGTTGCGAGATGACCTTCTCTATCGTGGATTCTCGTAGTATTGTCTCCACCCGGCGGGTGACGAAGACTAGATCACGGGCATGATCTCCTTTTATCTTACCCGAATGCTTTTGTGGGATGTGATCAGCAAACCGGTAATCGGTATTGAACTCGTGTGTGTGAGTTAAACTATTTGCTTCCGCTATGTTACAAGACTTGTTTTGTAATAACGATGACTCGTGTTGATGTAATCTATTTGCGTAACGTCTGCTGAATTGTTGTAACGCACGATATGTTATGTTGAATTATCGTGATCTTGGTTGTATGCAAGTTGGTTTGAAATCCGTCGTGATTTCGGGTTGACTAATGGTTTATATGGGCGCAAGTTCGAGAATTTGATCGTTTTGCCATTGTTTTCGTACTTGTACTCTTATAAATTGGTCGGTTCTCTGCGATGATACCGGCATCGAGCTAGATTCAACGTTAAACATGTCATACGGGTATTTAAAAACAAAGCTTTTGTTGCGAAAACTGGTTTATAACTTATAGTTATATGTAAGTGTTCAAAATCCGAAA